TGCAGAGTTACCAGATATAGGGTCTTCTAGCTATCACACATTTGCCTCAAGACAGCACTGCCTCCTCAAGGCACTTCATGTAGAAAATAATGAAGACTTCACCTACAAATTTGAGAGTTCTTTTCTTATCAGAGGTAATTTTCCGAGCTACCGTACATTCGTAATCAGCATTAGACTCATCCAACTCTTTCCGAATTCTCTGTACTGTCCTCAGATTTTGCCGAAACACTCCGGAATGTTTGTATTGGAACTTCCGGCGTGAATGCCAAGAAGTACGTTTCCAAATTTCTGGCGGAATCAGTTGCGTCATGGTGCTTTTTTTTTTCAATTGTAGCTGCTATAGAGTTATTTGGAAGGACAATATATATATATATATATATATATATATATATATATATATATATATATATATATATATACTACCAGCATGGCCCAGCGTTGCCTGTGCTTGATTCAAAAATCGTACGACTCATACAGCAATCGCTATCACTTGACTTAAAATATTTTTGCCCTTCCTTGCCTTTAAAGGAGTGCCCTTTCTCCCGTGCTGATGTTGCTACATGCCTTACTTCTTGCCTATCTCACACTGCGATTTTTTTTAAGCTCTATACTAAACATTAAATCTGTTACGAAAAAAAGAACTAAACAAAATGAACACAAAACGATCAGCCTTAAAAAAGGACTCGTAACTGGAAAAACCGAATGAAAAAGAATGTTAACAACAAATACTTTTTTTCACACCCAACCCAGTTCTGCGGAATCAGAATCAACGTTGAGTTTAAGCAAGCGAATGAGCCAATGGAGTAAAAGTGCCATGCAGATTTAAATTTTTCCCACTTGTGACGAATGCAGCTATCGAGTTTTTGCATGCTAGTTAACATTCGTGTCAGTCACCAGTTGGCTCTAACGCAGGCCAATAGAATCTTCCTGTCTATTCGTGGCAGCCAGATATTGGGTCTCCTTCTGGCCAGTACAAAATGGTCGCAAACTACATGAAAACTGCCGTAGAAGCATGAAAAAATCGATTATTTCCACTATCGATGGGAGTTTGGAAATGCAACGTCGGTCTTGGCCTTGCCACTAACTTGGAGCATGTGTATGTAAATTTTGGTGCAAATCCGTCGAAAATTGCGGCCGTACATTCGTTACACACACACACACAGCCTTATATATATATATATATATATATATATATATATATATATATATATATATATATACCGTTTTTCTGGTTTGTAATAATTTATGAGCCTTTTGTTACGCATTGAATATAAAATACTTAAAGTACTGAAGAAACTTAAAAGTGTTTTAATGTATCTTCATGTAAATTGTGAGGGCTGCAAATTCTGAGTGCTCATATATATATATATATATATATATATATATATATATATATATATATATATATATATATATATATATATATAACGTATGTATATGCGTAAAGGCATCCCCGTTGAACTTCCTGAAGACACCCGCAGGGTGATCGATCTGACGTGTGTATAGATTGTGGTAGAATGTGTTTGTCAATGGCTAGTCTAAGAAGTCACTTAAAAGCACGCCAACGGAATGTGGCAATTGACTATAAAACCGTAGACGTCCAGCAATTGAAATGTGATATTTGTGGTAAGATACGCGGGTCCAGAAGCGGTTTCATGCAACATTTTAAATTGCATGATAATATACTACCAGCTGTTGGACTTCTTAAGTGCCCTGTTTGTGTCAGATTATGTTGGTCCTTTGCTTGGCTAAAGAGTTACATTCGTTCAGCCCATCAGTAGATCTCCCAAAAGATATGTTGTAATGGCCGTACTCGGACGCGATTTGTCGACCTCCATTTAGATCGGAGGCTTACTTGTGGTTAAGAGATTTGGATTTTAATAGGCTACTGAACGTTACGTGAAATCAGTCCTTCTTTACGGCAGGGAATTTTGGACGATCTCCTCAAAGATGAAGAAGAGACTCGAGGCGTCAGACATGTGGTTCTACAGAAAGATGCTAAGGATATCATGGACCGAGCATATGAGTTAAGATGAGGTCTTAGAGAGGTTCAAAACAAAGGGAGGCCTTATAATAAACATCAAGGAGAGGCAGCTGGAGTTTCTGGAACACATAATGAGGGAAGAGGGCCAGGAGAATCTGATACTCACGGGTCGAATAGAGGGGAAGCGAGACAAGGGAAAACAACGCCTGACATCTGGGGGGTTAAGCAAGTGGATGACAGAACCTGTTGAGACCTACAAGAGATAGAGAGAGGTGGAGAGCCATGATCGCCTACGTCTTGAAAGGTCATGGCACAAGGTCTTCTGGATCAAGTTAAGGTTACGGCTTTGATTTCTCATATTTCAATCATAAAATCTGTGATGTCTGCTGATTTGGTCAAGTTGCATAAGTGTGTCGAAACTGAGATATTTTCAGTAATCCCTCGTATTTCTACTTACGTCAGCATTCTTTCATCTTGGATTTTTTTTCTCCTTACTTGTCACTCGCCCTTATTTAAGGTCATTATCGTTTACTTTCCACCAGCACCCATTCTTTGCGGCTTTCAAAAGAGCTGTGTAAGCCTTTTTTCTTTTACTTTTACTTAGATCTTTCTCCGACATTCCATCAGTTTCACAAATCATTATACTGAGGCGTTACGAATCTACCATATTTACAATGACATAAGATGTCCAGAGCAATTTCTTTTTTTTTTCTTCGATTCTTTGATATATTTTCTATCGGCTAAAATTTCTTATTTATTTTTCTTACTTTTCTCAATGAATTTTCTTTCTTTTTACTTTCTTTGTCGCCATTTTCTTATGTTTCTTCACTTCCCATGTCCTTTTTAATGTCTGAAATGTTTCATCCTTTCTTTCACTTGTTTGTTTGCTTCTTTCTTTCTTTCTTTCTTTCTTTCTTTGAGGCTTTTACTGAAGTTTTTTTTTTCTTACGTCTATTCCTTCTCTTTTATCTTTTTCTGTCTACAATCATTCGTTCCTTCTTTCATTTTCTTTTGTTTCTTTCTTTTTTATTATTTTTCGGATTTTTGTACGTTTCTTCTTTTAGATTTCATCTTTCAACCTTTTTCATGACAAATATTTTTCTTTCGTTTTCTTTCTTTCTATTTTCTTTCTTTCCTTGTCTCATTTTCAGTTTGTTTCTTTTTTGACTCAAGATTTTCTTTTCATCCTTTATCTGCTTTAAAATTGTTCTTTTTTTTTTCTTTTGATTCATTTCTCATATTGTGGCGTCCATTCTTTCTTTCTTTCCTTCTCTTCATTTGATTACTTGTTTGTTTCTTTCTTTTATTGCTCTTACTCTTTTCGAACTTGAATTGCAACTGCTCATTCTTTTTCCTTTCCTAAACCTTACGTTCTGTTTTATCTTTCTTTCTTCTTTATTTTTCTTTCTTTCTTTCTTTCTTTCTTTCTTTCTTTCTTTCTTTCTTTCGTTATTTCTTTCTTTCGTTATTTCTTTCGTTCTTAAATCTTTCATTCTTTCTTTCATTTTTTATGCCGCATTTTAACTACGTCTTCTTTTCGAACTTAAATTGCAACAGTTGTTCCCCCTGTCTTTCTTAAATCTTTCTTTCTTCTCTTTCTTTCTTTCTTTCTTTTCATTCATTCATTCTTTCTTTCTTTCTTTTCATTTTTTCTTTCTTTCTTTCTTTACTATCTTTCATTTTTTTATGCCGCCTTTTAAGTATGTCTTCTTTTCGAACTTAAATTGCAACATTTGTCCCCTTTGCCTTTCTTAAATCTTTCTTTCTTTCTTTTCATTCATTCATTCTTTCTTTCTTTCTTTCTTTTCATTCTTTCTTTCTTTTCTGTCTTTCATTTTTTTATGCCACCTTTTAAGTATGTCTTCTTTTCGAACTTAAATTGCAACCGTTCTCTTCTTTTTCTTTCTTAAATCTTTCTTTCTCTTTCTTTTTTTCTCCATTTTCAATATAATTTTCTTATTTTTTACCCTTTTCTATTTCACTAGCTTTCTTTCTTTCTTTTTTCTTTTTACTCTTTCTTTCACTCTTTCTATTTTCCGTGTGATAACTTGTTTGATTCTTTTTTTCTTACGTGCATCTTCTTTCCTAATATTAATTTCTCCTTTTCTTTTTTTCTGCTTATCGCATTCATTCTTTATTTCTTTGCCCTTACTTAAATGTTTTCATTCTTTACGACATTAAATTTCAAACGTTCTTCTTTTCTCCTATGTGAAATCTTCCTTTCTTTCTTGCAATATTTACTTGTCATCCATCTTTCTTACTTGTCACATCTTTTTTCCTCTTTGCCTTCGCCCACACGAGTACACTTCTTAGTGAGTGAATGTAGCGGGCATGGCGAGAGACACACCCGTGCATCTATAAGAAGTAAATTAGCGAATTCTTGGCTGTTATTCCAAAGAAAAACAATTTTCTTCTCGATTGCTTGCCTTCAAAGATTCTACGGTTGGGCTACTCCGTCGTTATTCTTTTCACCGCGGTTTGAATGGGGTGAACTCGTATAAGGAGGTGGCTTTTTTCGTTCATGTTTTTTTCATATCTACCACGCCCAAAGCTATATATTAATCACATATATCACGAAAGCATGATTTGCTCTTTGATGATTCATGTTTTCTCGTCATTTTTTGTTTCTGTTTGTTTGTTTCGTCAGCACCATTAAGGAAAGGTAAATGATATCAGCGAAGATTAGAGCGGGTTTCGCAAGCCGTGCATCGTAGGATTGAGGTATTAATAAATGCGCTCTCTCAGCAATATTTTGTTCCGGAAAAAGGCATATTTTCTCCAAAAGAAAATTGTTGAATATATATATATATATATATATATATATATATATATATATATATATATATATATATATATATATATATATATATATATAATATATATATATATATATATATATATATATATATATATATATATATATATATATAAGAATATATATAAGATTATTAATAAGCGCTTTATTTTGTGTTCTTAGATGTAAGCCATCATTAACAGACTTCACATCCATATATCACGTTGAAACACAGGTTTTCGTACGATCAGAGAAGTTAAGCAACGTAGAGCCTGGTTAAAACATTGATGGGTGACCGCTAGAGAATACCAGGTGCTGTAAGCTTGCATGTGCGGCTGGTAGTGGTAACGGCCATATCACGTTGAAACATTGATTTCCGTACGGTCAGCGAAGTTAAGCAACATAGAGCCTGGTCAGAACCTTGATGGGTGACCGCTTGGGAATACCAGGTTGTGCAAGCTTGGATGTGCGGCTGGTAGTGCTAACGGCCACATCACGTTGAAACATTGATTTCCGTACGATCAGCGAAGTTAAGCAACGTCAAGCCTGGTCAGAACCTTGATGGGTGACCGCTTGGGAATACCAGGCTGTGCAAGCTTGGATGTGCGGCTGGTAGTGGTAACGGCCATATCACGTTGAAACATTGATTTCCGTACGGTCAGCGAAGTTAAGAAACGTCGAGGGGTGACTGCTTGGGAATACCAGGTTGTGCAAGCTTGGATGTGCGGCTGGTAGGAGTCAGGAATATCTCACGTTGAAATATTTATTTCCGTATGATTAATGAATTAAGCAACATTGAGCCTCGTCAGTACCTTGCTGGATGATGCTTTGGAATACCAGGCGCTGTAAGTTTTCTTGAAATTGTGCAATTTCCCTAGCCAGAAAAACATCCAATTTTCTTTTCTTTGACCTTGCAGTATTTAATGTCAAAAATTTCGAGGCGTGGTTGTTTTATTGCCCGTTATCTTTCAGAAGAAGACATGTATGTTTGTCTAATTGGTTTGAAAATCAACGTAAGAAATCATTTTTATTTTACATTAGACACAGATAATTGAATATTGTGAAGTGTATAAAAAAGAAAAAAGAAAAAAAGAAAAAAGAAAAAAAGAAAAAAAACACTGAGGCGGAGTTAACTTGTAAGATCGTCTTCCAGGCCAAATGTTTAATATGAATGTTTTGATGTCCTGACATCACGATCACAAGATGAATTTAAATGTTTTTGATGTGTCGATATGTACACAATAAGATAATGTTCAAAAAGCTGTACAATCGACTACCATGGCATCATGTTTTCTTATCTCGACCTCAAGGCTCGTAATTGAATTTGGCTATTTTCAACTCTCCTCGTCCGTGCAATGCGTTGAAAAAAATTAATTGTTTGAAACCTTGTCTTCATGGCTCGAATTGAAGCTTAATCATTCCAAAACTCCCAGTTGAGGTTGATTTGTTATCACGACTTTTAGAGTTTCAAACTAAATCCTGTCGTTAGTCTGACTGCCTTCATCGACTCGGCCAACTTCTGTTTAAAAGCGAGGCATATAAATATCTTTATATTTCGTTTTGTAATCAACCCTACTAACATGGCAATAGATGACAAGCAATTTCTTCATCGATGAAAAGGGGATATGAAACAACAGAGAAATGGTTCTACAGAAGGATGCTGAGAATGCGGTCACCCATCTAGGTACTGACCAATGTTGACAATGCTTAACTTCGGTGATCGTGCTAGAACCTGTGTTTCAACATTATATGACCGTAAGCTCTTTATACTAGCGGCACATGTAAGCTTACAGTACTCATCCATCTAGGCACTGACCAATATCGACGTTGCTTAACTTCGGTGATCGTACGGGAATCGCCGTTTCGACGTGATATGGCCGTAATCCCTACCAGCCGCACATGCAAACTTACAGAACCTGGTTTTCTCAAGCATACACCCATCTAGATATTGGCCAGGCTCGATGTTGCTTAACTTCATTGATCGTACAAAAATCAACATTTCCACAGGATATGGCCGTGAACCCTACCATCAGCACGTCCAAACTTAAAGCACAAGGTAATCGCAAGTAATCACCCATCAAGGTACTGACCAGGCTCGATGTTGCTTAACTTCATTGATCGTACGAAAATCAACATTTCCACTGGATATGGCCGTTAACCCTCCCAGCTGCACATCCAAACTTGCAGAATTTGGTATTCCCAAGCATACACCCATCTAGATATTGACAAGAATCGATGTTGCTTAACTTCAATGATCGTACGGGAATCAATATTTTCACGGGATTTGTCCGATAGCCCTACCATTTGCACGTCCAAACTTACAGCACCTGGTATTCCCAAGCAGTCACCCATCAAGGTACTGACCAGGCTCGATGTTGCTTAACTTCATCGATCGTACGGGGATCTATATTTCCACGGGATTTGACTGTTAGCCCTACCAGCTGCACATACAAAATTACATCACATGTTATTCCTAAGTAGTCACCCATCAAGGTACTGACCAGTTTCGATGTTGCTTAACTTCATTGATCGTACGAAAATCAATATTTCCACGGGATTTGGCCGTTAGCCCTCCCAGCTGCACATCCAAAATGACAGCAGTCACCCATCAAGGTACTGACTAGGCTCGATGTTGCTTAACTTCATTGATTGTGGGAGAAATAGTGTTTTAACGTGATGTGGTCGGGAAGTTCTCTTAACTGGCTTTTTCTGATTCTTTAAATAAAGTATTTCTTATTTTCTCCTTTATGATTAAAATTCGATTGTGAGTGAGATTGATAGTAAAAAGACAAATTTTGCGTAGAGCTACAAATGATGGGAAGTTGTGGAGAGTAATTACCATACACGTTCTTAAGGGAAAAGGCAAATAGATGATGCATAGCCAAAGCTAATTAACTCTTTTAACTTTTACATTTGCTTCATATTGGCATTCTGTCGACTTAATAATGGTCACTTCACAAACTGTTTATTGGATGTTTACAAAAATTCTATAAAGCGTTCGTATTTTTATCGACTTGCTCCTCAAAGATCGCGTTTCTTTGTTATTCCTGATAAATGGACAGTGGTCAAGTCGGATAGCATTGAAAAAAAAAAGACTAATGAATTTGTTGACCGCGAAAAAGGGACAAAGGATAAGAAACTAAGATAAAACGGGTTTAATTGGTCCTGAGTTCGAATATCGTATATTGAAGACCTTCTTTCATGTTTACTGACCTTAAATATTTAGATTGTAAAGTGTTCGCGGAAACTTCGTTTTTTCCATAGATTCTTTTTATAGCTTTCTCTTTGCTTGCAAAATGGTTGAAGGAAATTGTATTTTATTCTTAACCGATCCAGAATTCAACTTTGCCAGTATTTCTAATTTCTGATTGATTAGAAAGATTTGCACCATTAGCTTGAAAAAAGGACAAAGAAAAAAAACGATTCGAATTGGTGCGTAGTTGGAATAACTTATATTAAAAAAAAACTTCTTTCATACGATTTTCTGATCATAAACATTTAGATTTTAAAGATTTCCTGGAAGAATCGGTTTCAAACGATTCTGTTTATGGGTCTCTCTCTGTCTCTCTCAGACTCTATTTGCATATTTAATGGCCGCAGTAGATCAATGTAAACCATTTAAGCAACCAGAAATGAGAAACATTGGGAAAATTAAACTTAAAATAAATAAAATAAAATAAACTTGAGAAAAAAAAACAACCATTTACACTACATTTTAGGACAGCTGTCCTCATTTTATCGTCGCATTAACGACGTTTCGGTTGTTGTAACATCCGATCGTCTTCAGGATATGTCTATCTTTCTAAGACGAAGTATTGTAACAATTTACACTATTTTCATTATTTGGACAGTTGACCTCATTTTTATCGTTTCATTCAGCACATTTCGGCCGTTGAAGGCTACACCCTTCTTCAGAATCTGTCTATCTTTGTAAGATGAGGTATTGTAAGTATTTACAGTAACTACAGTGTTTGAACTGTTGTCCTCATCTTTATCGCCGCATTCAAGACGTTTCGGTGTTTGTACACGCCGGCCTTCTCCAGGAACAGTCTATCTTTCTGAGATGAGGTATTGTAATTAATTACACTATTTACATTGTTTGGACTGCTGTCCTCATATTTATTGCCATATTCACCTTCAATATCTGTCTCTATTTCTCAGATAAGGTATTGTAACTATTTACACTATTTACATTGTTCGGACTGCTGTCCTCATCTTTATTGCCATATTCAACTTCAACATCTGTCTCTATTTCTCAGATGAGGTATTGTAACTATTTACATCATTGTTTGGACTGTTGTCCTCATCTTTATTGATATTCACCTTCAACATCTGTCTCTATTTCTCAGATGAGGTATTGTAACTATTTACACTATTTACATTGTTTGGACTTTACATTGTTTGGACATCTGTCTGATCTATTTACACTATTTACATGTTGTCCTCATTTTATTGCCATATTCACCTTTAAAATCTGTCTCTATTTCTCAGATGAGGTATTGTAACTATTTACACTATTTACATTGTTTGGACTGTTGTCCTCATCTTTATTATATATTCACCTTCAACATCTGTCTCTATTTCTCAGATGAGGTATTGTAACTATTTACACTATTTACATTGTTCGGACTGTTGTCCTCATCTTTATTGCCATATTCATTCAACATCTGTCTCTATTTCTCAGATGATTGTAACTATTTACACTATTTACATTGTTTGGACTGTTGTCCTCATCTTTATTGTATTCTCCTTCAACATCTTCTCTATTTCTCAGATGAGGTATTGTAACTATTTACACTATTTACATTGTTTGGACTGTTGTCCTCATCTTTTTGCCATATTCACCTCCTGTCTCTATTTCTCAGATATTGTAACTATTTACATATTTACATTGTTTGGACTGTTGTCCTCATCTTTATCAACATCTGTCTCTATTTCTCAGATGAGGTATTGTAACTATTTACACTATTTACATTGTTTGGACTGTTGTCCTCATCTTTATTGCCATATTCAACTTCAACATCTGTCTCTATTTCTCAGATGAGGTATTGTAACTATTTACACTATTTACATTGTTTGGACTGTTGTCCTCATCTTTATTGCCATATTCACCTTCAACATCTGTCTCTATTTCTCAGATGAGGTATTGTAACTATTTACACTATTTACATTGTTCGGACTGTTGTCCTCATCTTTATTGCCATATTCACCTTCAACATCTGTCTCTATTTCTCAGATGATGTATTGTAACTATATTTACACTATTTACATTGTTTGGACTGTTGTCCCCATCTTTATCTTTCAACTTCAACATCTGTCTCTATTTCTCAGATGAGGTATTGTAACTATTTACATCTGTTGTCCTCATCTTTATTTCAACTTCAACATCTGTCTCTATTTCTCAGATGAGGTATTGTAACTATTTACACTAACATTGTTTGGACTTTGTCCTCATCTTTATTATATATTCACCTTCAACATCTGTCTCTATTTCTCAGATGAGGTTGTTTTTACACTATTTACATTGTTTGGACTGTTGTCCTCATCTTTATTGCCATATTCACCTTCAACATCTGTCTCTATTTCTCAGATGAGGTATTGTAACTATTTACACTATTTACATTGTTTGGACTGTTGTCCTCATCTTTATTGCCATATTCACCTTCAACATCTGTCTCTATTTCTCAGATGATGATTGTAACTATTTACACTATTTACATTGTTTGGACTGTTGTCCTCATCTTTATTGCTATTTAACATCTGTCTCTATTTCTCAGATGAGGTATTGTAACTATTTCCACTATTTATATTGTTCGGACTGCTGTCCTCATCTTTATTGCCATATTCACCTTCAACATCTGTCTCTATTTCTCAGATGAGGTATTGTAACTATTTACACTATTTACATTGTTTGGACTGTTGTCCTCATCTTTATTGCCATATTCAACTTCAACATCTGTCTTATTTCTCAGATGAGGTATATTCACACTTTTACATTGTTTGGACTGTTGTCCTGTCTTTATTATATATTCACCTTCAACATCTGATATTTCTCAGATGAGTATTGTAACTATTTACACTATTTACATTGTTTGGACTGTTGTCTTCATCTTTATTGCCATATTCATCTTCAACATCTGTCTCTATTTCTCAGATGAGGTATTGTAACTATTTACACTATTTACATTGTTTGGACTGTTGTCCTCATCTTTATTGCCATATTCAACTTCAACATCTGTCTCTATTTCTCAGATGAGGTATTGTAACTATTTACACTATTTACATTGTTTGGACTGTTGTTCCCATCTTTATTGCCATATTCACCTTCAACATCTGTCTATATTTCTCAGATGAGGTATTTTAACTATTTACATTGTTCGGAGTGTCGTCCTCATTTTTATTCTCATATTGTACGCTCCGGCCTTCGTCAGGATATGTCTATCTTTCTAAGATGAAGTATTGTAACTATTTGATCTACACAATTTGTTCGGACTGTTATTCTCATTTTTATTGTCATATTCTTTTTTTTTAGAGGTTATGCAAAATATAACATTTGAAATCGAATATATTTTAACTACGGCGGAAAGGTACGATAAATTGGATGCTATTAATTTCTCTTTTTCAAAATGAATCTCGTAGAAATTGGATATTAAAAAATCATATATAGATAGATTGATGGTCGCCACCAGATTTCCAGTTTGACTATCGCCAATATCGCGTTGGTCAAATGTGCACAGTCAGATGGACTGATGTATATATATATATTTTAAGCGTCCTGAAATCAAAGGAAGTAGTTGCCGCAGATTACTTGCACAATACAAAGAAAAATCATTGTAAGTACAGACTCGAATATCGGGGGCAGAAAGAAATGCTGAAAACTCGATACGCCGCTATTATCTCAAATCACAAGGCGTGTAACCAGTCAGAAAAATAACTCACTCACTAACAATCGCCGTGGCCCCAAAAATGCCCGAATTTTCCGATGTCGAATCGAGAACACCAACTGCATTTTATCGGCAGAACCATTTTTTTTTTCATTCGTCGACAGCTGGGATAGGATGTTCCGTAATTTGCATATCAAAATACTTTTATAGCGACTCCTGCGACGGACTTGTTTTTTTTTTCTTCTTTAATTCAATTATTCCATTTTCAGCATGTTATGCGGAATACGTGGCCTTCTGTTTGGTAAGTACTTTTCTTTTTCGCCACTTTTTCCGTCGTAGTATACACGCGACGCGCTGTCGCTTGGTTTGACGAGGTAAATCGCCGTTTTCTTCGCTATATATATATATATATATATATATGTGTGTGTGTGTGTGTGTGTGTGTGTGTGTATATACCCAGGTACGATGAGAAAGAATAGAGTTCACTTCCAAAATTCGTAATATTTGATTTAAAAGATGA